TGCTCTATTTTCCTGTAAACTCTCTGCAGCCAGCCAGCTCACACCCTGGCTACGTCCCAGACCGAAGTAAAGGTGCCTTGCAGAGGTACAGAAAAGTTGGCTGAAGCTAAGATCAGACTATAGGGCTGGAAATTAGGAAACATATGCTTTGTGATGGAAGTTGGCACATATCCCAAGCACAAGACGTTGGATAAGTTCGCTTATTCCTTCCTGCCCCCTCATTACTTCTGAAATCAAGATAGTCTTAAGACCAGAATTTGAGGGGCTGTCTCGAGACAGAGCTCTGATTTTGGCTGGGCTCTTGGTGCAAATAACCAGCAATACCATAAAGGTCACCTTTATGAGCAGTTCACTGCTGTAAAATGGAGAACTTGAACAAAAAAAAATATCCCTCAAACAAGCCAGACAAAGAAAATAGTAAGCACAAGAATATCCAAAGCACTTCACTCTTTAAAAAAAAAAACAATCCAGATGTTTCTAAAGTCTAAGAGCTCATGTTTACTGCAGATTTAGGGACTGTGAAACATCAAGTAATGATTAAACTTTTCTGAAAAAGTATGGCCTGGTCATAGAGCAGGATCCTGTCACATGAGGAATAGAAGATGGTTCTTCTCCCTGCTGCTTAGAAAGAACATTTCCCTAGAAAACATCCCATGTCCTGAATAGAAAAATTAAAAACCAGTGCTCACAATTCCATTTTCAGAATCTAGCTTCTGGTTCCAAAATGAATACAAAAGCTTCTCACACCAACTTTCAAGCTTTTGTTACTTTCTGATTCTGGTTTAAAGAAGAAATCTGGACAAGGATGAGCAGATGGGCCATACTCTGCCTTCACAGAGGCAAATACAGGAGACGAGCAAGAATGCCAGAGCTTTGGAGGGGAAAAAAAACCCAGCTGATTGACTCAGCTTCACAAAATCCTTTGGGATCCTGAGTCTCCTTACTAACACCAGTTGTATATAATCTCCCTCTATGGGCACCCAGCGAATCCCCTCTGGTGCACCAGGGCTGCTTTCAAATCTGTCTCTTTTCCTGACACACACATACATGCCCCAAGTTCAAACTTGTTTTTGAAGCAATAAAGAGACACCGAAAAATTGTACATTTAAATGACACGGCGAGGTGGCCAAGTGTGAAGCGAACCCATCTCTCACATCTTTCATTTAAAAGGATGAGACAGGACAACAGAAAGCCTGCTGCAATCCCTGTGAAGAGGTCAACGTCGAAACTGGGCCACTTAATTTGCCATTTGAGAAAACAACAACACGCAAATAGGAAGACTCTTTGGACCTCTCCTCATTAGGCAGGGAAACCATTTTGCAGAGGCAGCGTCCCCTTGGGAAAGAGAAGAGGGCAGCGAGAAAGGCAAGTGAACCGACACGAGATTGCCGCCACGATGCATGACCCTGTGGCAAGTGAGTCCCTCCACTCCGCGAAACGCTCGGAGAGCCCACAGGGTATTGTGGGAGAAAGCCAAATACAATGAGGCAGGCAAAAATGAAACCTAACAGCCCACGCAGAAAAAAAATCAAAAGGAAAGCGAGGGATTTTCCCCTGCAATGAGATGCTGAGGAGCACTTGGGTCCGGTCAGCCTTTCAGCCAATTTATTCAATCAGCTTAGGCTATCGAGGTGGCAATTGCGTCGCTTTTGTTTCAGGACTGAACTGCTGCAGGTCAATCCACCCCAAGCAAACCTGCTTATTTGCTTCATAGATGTTCAACACTTAAAGGTTAGTCAGCTGTACAAATGCTGGAAATAGCACGCGGGGCACTCAGGGTGAGACTCAAGCCACCCAGGACAAACAAGGCTATGGAGTATCAGCATGTTGGGCTCCAGCAGAGATAGCTCCCAGCTCCCTCCACACCCCAGACAGCCCCAGAAAAACAGAAAAGAGAGGAGAGCTTGCCAATGCACAGATACGAGCGCATATATTAATACTGCTTAATAGTATCCTCTTCCCTTTGCAATGCATGCCTGCATGAGAAAAAGAAGAAAGCCGTGCTCTTGGAGACAGCTCCCACAGAGGACAATGCTGTTCTCGGCTCCCATAAAAAACGAGGGATCTGGATGTGCTGCCCATGTCTTGGGAGTGCGCCCAAACGTGCAATGATTCCCTTCTAGAAGCAGTGAAAAATATATACTGTGTAATCAACAAGGAGCTAAATCATCCAGTTCAACAGCTCTAGCACCAAAATGATTTAAAAGACAATATTCGGTCGCTGAAATCCTTCCTGCGTACTGTCTGTAATGACTGTGAGACAACTGCAGCTAGACTGGAGATCTTGCACTGCTGCTGGCTTCCTTGCTGTCTGAAATGTGGGTTTTTCTCTGAGCTCCCTGCTTTTTGAAGAACACACACGAAGAGCGCACGGTATCCACAGTCGCCCACGTGAACCCCTTTGCCAGTCTGACATGGAGTTGCATCAGGTATTAGTGCCATCAACAAGGGTACTAACAACTTGGGGCGAATTCGGGAAGCCAGCAAGAATCCCATGACTGACGTGACAAGACTCAGTGCCAAATCTGCACTAAGATAACAAGAAGTGATCAAATTAGAGTATGACCAGATTTCTTTCATGTAGGTAATACAGGTTGAAAAAAGCTGTGAAAGTTATATTCATCTTGTCCATCCTTAAAGTAAGTCATTTTCCCTTTATTTGTAGAAGAAAAACTAAATATTACAATACAGGTCACCTACAGTTCAGTGCAAAAAAAAAGAAAAAAAAAACAGGAAAACCAATTCCAAATAGAAGACTTTTATTTGCCTAAAACTACAGAGATGAAATTTAGATCTGCCTCAGTTCAGCTGCTCAAACGGAAAGTATATGACCTTTTTCTCCTGCAACAACCAATCAGAGTCAGCTCAGTAGCCAAAAAAGAGACAAGTTTGTGTCTCCATTACAGAGCTCTCTCTACTTCCCCTGCCCCCCTTATTCCCATATCTTTATCTCGTCCAGCAACATTGTTTTCTACCCCATCATACTCTCTGGCTATTCTTCCATAACCTCTTGTGCCTTCCCTAGACACCTATATTCCCCATG